TCCATATTTTTGGCAATTATGACATTGAGGGGGATCAGACCGCCTTTTTGGATATTCAAATTTCACTATTGAGTTTAATATTTTTGTTATTTTAAATATTTCTCGATTATTGTTGTTGCGGGCCAGGCCTATATTAAATAGAGGAAGTGGTAACTTGTTCGTGTGGTGTATTATTTTTGAGATACTGTTGACTTTGTGCCCTAGGTCACTAAGGTAGTTTATAATATCCGCGGTAAGCGTGGAGTGGTGAAGGTGGCGTAGCACGACTCGGAAAGGTTGTGAGGAACGGGGGAGATAAGAATGGTAATCGTAATCGGCTTCAACCAGATATGATTTAATGGCCGTCCAGTTTTCGCGTGTGTTTGACCGAACGATAATATTAGATCTATTAGCTTTGCATGTGAAACCCATTGGTCCCACTATGCTAGTTAAATCATTTTTGAGGGCTATAAAATCGGTAACGTTTGTTAGTACGATATTTGGGAGTTTTATCTTACTCGGTTCTGGCGAGGTCTTGATAGTTTGTGAGGCGAGCTGAGATTCTGTTTGCACGAAAACATTGTCTTGTTCCTCCATTTCTAGAACTTCGAAACGATTTGGTGTTACAAAAACTTTGTTTTTCTTATCCACGTAGGTCGGGGAGTTTGAGGAGGTCGACGAGAGAGCTCTCTTTGTAGGATTTTCCATAGTTTTCTTTTTGAGAACTTTATTTTTGTTTAGAATAACAATTGGTGAAACCGTGGCCATTACACGTTTTTAATGCCTCGTTGCGATAATTAAATGGATAGATAAGGTACGATACGCGACGCATTACGAAACTACGGCGGTGCACTAGTTATCGCTTTGGCTGTCTGAGCACAAAAATTTGATAAATGTTGTCAAAATTCGTTCTTTAAATGCTTATAAAAAAAAATTGTGTCTATGTATTTTTAATATTTTTCAATTGATATTGATATTGTAGCAATATATCAGGAGCCTTGTATCAATTTTTTACACTCTTTGGCCCATCAGATAAAACTCTATTGATATTTATAGAAAAAAAACTAAAAAAATTGAAAACTATAAATGTCCGTTCACAGCTCAAAAAGCTTCAAAATATTTTAAAAATTGTATGGTATATGGGCACTGCTAATATAAACATTCAGTGAAATTTTCATGTATCTACAGTTAATGTTAATCGTTTTTGAATTACAACAAAATCGCTATATAAGAAATCGAGTGAATATCCAATGTTGAAAAAATTTGAATTTCAAACGATTATAAAAATTTAATTTGACTTTCCTATAGATATTTTTTTTTGATAAAGGTAGATATTCTTATAAGGAATCTTGTATTACATTTTTAAAATCTTAGATTTAAAAAGAAAAATTTCCATGAATTCTTAACTCAAAATAATTTGCTAATTTTCGTGATATTTCTATATTTTGTCAATTTTTGAACTTTAAATGCTTATAAAAAAAAACTGTGACTAATTATTTTTAATATTTTTCATCTGCCTTTGAAACAATATACCAGAAACCTTCTATTAAATTTTCAAGTTTTTTTAACCAACAAATTAAATTTTATTGATATTTTTAGAAAAAATAAATAAAAAAAAATAAAAATGAAAATATCCCTAAACAGTTTAAAATAAATCAAAATATTTTGAAAATGTTATTGTGTATAGAAAATGCAAATATAAACAATCAGTGAACATTTCATGTATCTACGGTCATTTGTTTTAAAGTTACACCAAAAACCAAATTCGATTTTGTATAAAAATTCCCATTTTTCCTTAATTTTTCTTGTTTTTCCAGGAGCTTTTGAAAATTACCGGGAATTTTAAATTTTGACCTCCTTAATGCGGTATTCACTTTCCAATCGAACAAGATACTGAAGTTGAAAATCGAAGGATTATTTCGACTACTTATCGTGTACACAGACACAAATAAAATAAAAATAATAAAAAAATAAAAAACACACATCATTGTAAAATTAATACATTCATCGTTCCACTCAGAATCTAAAATAAACAAATGATTTTTAAAATGTGTTTTGTTATACATTGTTTTCCTTTGATATGGTAGCTAATATAATTCACCAAATAAGTGACCTGTGTGCGAAGCGAGCTTTTTTATTTCATTTGGGGGCCCCTTTTAACAATCTCCCGGTGGGTCCAAAAATGGCCTATTCGCCTATGGGCAACAGTATGACACTAAGACATTCTCTGCAGTGTAGTCGTCAATGAAAAGTGAACACTGTTAAGCTCATAAGTGATAACAGTCATAATCGTCGTGAAAATATTATACACCTTGACTGTGGTCGTTCAACTAAAATGAATAATTTTTGCTTTCCGGTATAATTTAGAAAAAGGGGCATTAGACATATTATGTGTTTTTGAGTTTTAAGGGAGCGCCTGTGATATAATATTATATATAAAGTACGAAGGTAATAATTTAATATACACATATAAATATATTATTTTAAAATATGTGATAGGTACCTACCTTGCCGGGATTTGGCCAGTACAACTGAATATAAATATATAATATGAATAATATTTATAATATAGCCCACTTACATTCCACAGCAGTCGCAGTGCATCAAGCGTTATTTATTAAACGTTGGATAATTTCGATCTTTCTAAAATTCCAAATAACATAATATGCTTTACACGAGTAATCTGATATATTATGTTAATATGCCGAATACGCAATCCGTTGTCCTACACATACAACTTGGGTGCGGCTATATGCATGGTCAACGATAATACACGATGTATAATATAATAAAACATATAGGAGTTGCAGGTAACGCGGGAGAATTATTCTGGTTCATTTTTATAATATCGTATATAATATTATTACCTAGCATATTATGTAAGACATTCGAATTTTAAACGTAATTATTAACGATTTCTACCGCCTGTCTCCAACAATCGTAATAATAATAATAATAATAGTAATTAATAACAAAATATTTCTTACTGATCCAACCGCTATAATATGCAAAGTTAAATTTATAGTTATAATAAATGGTTCTATAGTCGGCAACACATATAGCGGAAGGTTTTTACATTTTTTCAACATATCGAAATTGACGAAATCGTAAATCGTGGAAGTGACTGTTAAAACTATACAAAATAAAAATAAATAATTATTTGAATAATTCATTCGTATTTTAGATTCTGAGTGAAACGATGAATGTATTGATTTTACAATGATGTGTGTTTTTTTAACTTTTTTTTTAATTTTTTAATTTTTTTTTGTGTCTGTCATCACCTTTTAAGACAGTAAAAGTGCTTGGATTTTCTTCAACAGTACCTTTTCTGATAGGAAAGTGAATCTAATTGGTACTTTGGGGGGTCAAATTTCCTAGTAGTTATTAATAGTGCCGTGAAAAACAAAAGAAAAATTAAGGAAAAACTGGAATTTTTACGCAAAATCTGTTTTCTAGAAAATCTATTTTGGTTTTAGGTGCAACTCTTAAACAAATGACCGTAGGTACATTAAATTTTGATTGAATGTTTATATTAGCATTTTCTATACACCATAACATTTTCCAAATATATTGACTTATTTTGAGCTCTTTACGGACATTTTCAGTTTCCATTTTTTTTTAGTTTTTTTTTCTATGAATATCAATAAAACTTTATTTGTTTGGTAAAAAAGCTTAAAAATGTAATACAAGGTTCCTACTATATTGTTACAATAACAGTTTAAAAATATTCAAAATCTTAGTCACATTTTTTTTTATAAACATTTAAAGTTCAAATCGTAACAAAATACGGAAAAATCACGAAAATTAGCAAACTATTTTGAGTTGAGAATTCATAAAAATTTTTCTTTTTAAATCTAACATATTAAAATGTAATACAAGATTACTCATAAGTTTACCTACCTTTATCAAAAAAAAAAAATGTCTACAAGCAAATCAAATTTAATTTTTTTGAGCGTTTGAAGTTCATAGTTTTACAATATTGGATATTCACTGGATTTTTCATGTAGCGGTTTTGTTATTTTATTATTATTCAAAAACGATAAACTGTAGATACATGAACATTTTACTGAATGTTTATATAAGCATTTTCTATACACCATACAATTTTGAAAATAATTTGACTCTTTTTGAGCTGTTTACGGACATTGTCAGTTTTCAATTTTCTTAGTTTTTTTTTCTATAAATATCAATAAAAATTTATTTGTTGTGTAAAAAGCGTGAAAATGTAATGAGAGACCCCTGATATATTGTTACAATAGCAGTTTAAAAATATTTAAAATACATAGGCACAATTTTTTTTATAAATATTCAAAGTTCAAATTTTGACAAAATGTATCACATTTAAAATTTGATAATAATTTTGTAGTTAAAAATTTATAAAATGTTCAACTTTTATAGCTAAGGATTGAAAATTTAAAACAAGTAAATAGGTTATATATAAATTACTTTATTCACCTTAATATCATCAAATATACTTCATAATATCATAGACTGACTGACCGTTTTAGCTCAGAATTGTTTTTCTTATACAATGATATTATATCATTGAATTCAAATTTAACACCATCCATTACACATTACAGTGACCCACTTGTAACCTACTGCACAGCAGAGCGACTTTCTTTAATATTACTTTGTAAATTCTATAGGCTAGCTATAATGTTATATTTTATAAAAGCATTAACAATTAAACAACATTTACCTAAGTTTTTTTTAAAAATTAACGGATTAACAGCTTAAGAATTAAAATAACAACTACATTCGCTATCTCATATCGACATAATAATAATAATATGTTTTATCGCATTATTTAGATATTTAGTAATTAGTATTTATCCTGTATATACTGTTGTATAAATTAAGTATAGTTATTATTGATATAAGTCGAATAATAATAAATAAATATCTGTGGTCTTGCGTATGTTTACAGCTTATCATTTTCTGCATTTGCGTGCGTAGTTCTGTTTCCTTTGGCCGTGCACTGGTCGTTTTCGGCGTACCCAAAAATAAAGGTGCCCGTAATGGTGGAAAACGAAGATTTGGGTGACTACAATAATAAGACGATCGAACCTATGAGTAATATATTCATCAGTCGTCACTTGAAATTGTATTCCCCTAAGGTCAGTGAGATAGTTTTTATACTTATGACCTACCAACACACACGAGCATCATATTGTTTATAGGTAGGTACCAGTGTGGCAGTGTCCACTGTCCACTGTCTATAGGCAGTATAATAATACCGTGTATGTAACTTGTACAGCTAACTTTTGGCTTCAACTCCAATTTGCGTTAGTTTCCTGAGTTATTTGTTAATGCACTGTATAGTGAACTTGTGAACACTTTAACAGTATGTATATATTACAAATTTTAATTGTAACACACATACACGATATATTTTTTAGTTTTTGTTTTCTATGAATGTCAATAAAATATTATTTGTTGAGTAAAAAACCTTGAAAATTTAATACAAGGCTCTTCACATATTGTTACAATGACATTTGAAAAATATTAAAAATCCAGTCACAATTTTTTTTTAAAAGCATATAAAGTTCAAATGCTAACAAAACACGAAAAATCCCGAAAATACATATACATGTATGTGTACAAATTATTAATTTAGAAATTCATACAATTTTTTATTTTTAAATCTAAGATTTGAAAATTGAATTCAATATTGAATATTCATCATAAGTTGGTCTACCTTTATGTTTATATTCTCATTTTCTATACACCATACAATTTTGAAAATATTTTGACTCATTTTGAGCTGTTTGCGGACAATTTAAAATGTCAATTTTTTTAGTTTTTTTATTTTATAAATATCAATAAAATGTAATTTGTTGGACCAAAAAGCTTAAAAATATAATACAAGGCTCTTCACATATTGTTATAATGACATTTAAAAAATATTAAAGATCCAGCCACAATTTTTTCTTATAAGCATTTAAAGTTCGATTTTGGACGAAATATATCAAATATAAAATGTACTAATTATTTTGTAGTTAAAAATTTATAAAATATTCAACTTTTATAGCTAAGGATTGAAAATTTAAATAATGTTCCACGTCAAGAGGTTGTATATAATAAATTACTTTATTCACAATAATATCATCATATACACTTAGTAATATCATAGACTGACTGACCGTCTTCGCTCAGAATCGTTTTTCTTATACGCGTAATGATAATAAATCATTGAATTCAAATTTAATACAATCCATTACAGTGACTCACTTGTAACCTACTGTACAGCAGAGTGACACCCACTTACCCACTATTTTAATTTAAATTACTTTTTATGTAAAATCATAATAAAAACTTATAAATTATCATATACCTACACTACCTATAGGTAACTAGTATTATTTTGATCTATAAACATTCTAAACCAAAGATAGAATGTTGATAATACACTCTAAACCAGGGGTCTCTAACCTACGGCCAGCTCGCCAAGGGGTTTTCACTGAAACCCCAAGCTAATTAATGTTTTGAAAATAGTATATTTATTATTTTATTTTAGTTTAGTTTTTATTAAATGATTATTATAAGCTGTTACGAATCACATCAAAAGAAAAAAATAATAAATTCAATAAATTATTTTCTTTTGGTGTCCTTTGTAACAGCTTATATTATAATAATCATTTATACCTATATATAATATATATATATATATACAAAGTACTAACACTAATTTATGATAGAAAAACACATTATAAAATAAAATAAAGTATACAAACAAACGTTAATTTTTCTAAATGAATTTTTATCTGTTCTTCAATTTCTTAACCGATCTATTCTTCTAAAAATGTTGATCCGCGATGCCAAAGCGTATCTCAATTTTGGCCCACCGGAAAAAAAAAAAGGTTGCAGACCCCTGCTCTAAACACTTAATCTACAATTATTATTTGGAGAGGCAACAAGATTTTAGTACCTATTTAAAAACACTGTTTATAGGACGCACAGTCATGAATTGTGGATTGAAACTATTTTGTCTAGATCTAAAATAATATACACTTTATAACATATTTAAATTAAAATATCTACCATTCATTATTATCAATTGTTAATCACATTATATTAATTATTACGTATATAGATGTATATAGATGTACACTTAAAAATCATCAAATAAATTATATGATTAGGAACAGGAATTATTCGAAGATGATGCTGGTAAGCAATTGAGACATTGCTCACTGTACTTTGATAAAAACTATACAATGGCTCTGCGACGGCGAATCGAAAGAAAAATAAAAAACGGCGCTGATTTTGAAAATAGTCAGATGATAATCACAATGGAAATGGCCGGTACGGCGGTATAATACAATATTCACTTTCGTATAAAACAAGCAGTAGACTTTAATGTAAGGGGCAGGGGTCCCCCAAGGCCAAGCTTCTAAAGTATCACGTTTAGGCACACTAAAAATTAATATTATAAAGCAGTTCTTTAAATATATCATAGATACGTACCTAGTTAGGAGGTAGGTACCTACTTAAAAACTAAAATAAAATTCATAAGTTTATATACCTACTTATAAAGTTTATTATTATATTATAACAATAATTTTGTGTTGACTACTCAAAAATCATTATGTAAATAATTATTAAAAGTTATAAATAGGTCCAGGACTTATATTACAATTGCATATTTTTTAAAATACAGTAGAAATCGGTTATAACGAGTTTCAAGGGCCAGCTAGTTTTCTCGTTATAACCGGTAGCTCGTTATATGCGGTTAGAACGAAAATTCGTTGCAACCGATTAAAAGCGGAAATACAAAAATAAAACCGACGACTTTCTTTTATTTTAGATGAAAAATTTTTATTTGAGATTAATTTATACATGCATGTACACGCATTATTTATACATTAATACATACATTTATTATTATAATTGGAGATTTAATACATAATTATAAAACACTTGAATTAATTTATTTTGATTTAATTTCTTAAAATAATCTTAGATCGAACTTTGTTGTTGCTTCGTGTTAGAGTTGATCTATGTGTCTAATAAAGACAACGCTTTTCTTTCAGCATCTGTCCCTTCATATTTTGTGTAATAAAATCTTTCTAGAGTTCTCAATAAAAATCTTCGGATATTGACGGCACAGTTTTTTGTAATATTTTCCGATTCACCTCCATGACCCTACTCACCCCCTTTTACGGTATCATTATCTAGCTCAACTTTTTGGCTGGCTATGACATTGTTGACTATATCTTCATCTGTTTGAATTTCTGAAACGAAAATAGTTCTTATCTTGCAGGTACTTGTTCGTAGTAACCGGAAGGTCGTTAGTCAAGTCAGCTTTATTTTACTCGTTATAGCCGATAACTCGTAATAACCATACTCGTTGTAGACGTATATTTTAACATGCAATCATATGTGCTCGTGCTGGGACCTAACGTTTTGCTTGTTGTAGGCAGTATCTCGTTCTAAGCGATGCTCGTTATAGTGATTTCTACTGTAGTTTGAAAAATTGATTGTTCAGATAAATATGTACTGCAATTTAACAACTAACAACACCAAAACACCAAACAAATTTGAATATTTTGTTTTTTTTTCAATAACGTGCATTTATCAATTATCGTGATCATAACGTATCGTACAAAATATAACGCATCATTTTAATTAATTTATAAAAATTAACAATATAAAACTGATGCTATTTTTATGAAAAATAAAGGCTACCAACCACTATACGTCTATACGTTCAGTTTAGAATATCATAAAATATGACGAAAAATAAGAAGACGAACCTGAAGATGTTCGTAAATGATAATATTAAAAATAGCCCAACTTTGATTTATGAAGTTTTTCATCGTACAAACATTTTCTGACCTCAAATAGGTGTTTATTTTAATATGAAAACGTCAAATATTGTGAACTAAAATACAAGTACTTCGATAAAATTTCCAATTTAAAAACAATGTTTGAATAATTATTTTAAAATTGGCGATTCAAAATGTTTATATATTGTTTTTAGAACCTATATTAGTACAAGAAGACTTATACATTATAATCGATATCCCAATGAATGTATCTGGTTGTCATCAATTCATACATTTTATATATTCATTAATTTTGTTGAGAAAATATTAGATTGTGTACTATGAAATTATTTTGACAAAGATAAATTAGTCATTATTAGGGATGTGCACGGAAGTGGTTATGTATAGTGTGTAAGGAAAACGAACATATTAATATATTAATGTGTGCTTGCGAGCGGTTTTTTTAAGTTACCCATATGGCCAGTCAAAACTCGTGCCCCCTTTATTAAAAACTGAAATTACACCAAATAGGTATACGGTATACCTATATTTAACAATATTTTGATTAGTTTATAGTCTATAGTCCCTAGACCCTACAGGATTAGTAATTACTAATTAGTAATAACATACTTACATAGTCATCACATATACTTCAATACTTGGGGACTGGGGTTAAGCCATTTGTAAAAACAGTTCAGCCCCCATGTAGTGATGTCACAAGGAATAAAAAAGTCACATATTTACTACCTAATTTACTATATATTATATAGACGGGCGAAAATCTGCTGTCACTAAAGATATACTAACGGATCTCTATAAAAAATTTCTATCGGACTACGCGCACAACATGATGACGGAATACGTTACGGACATCAATTATGATTCTATAAAGGTGACATTGCTGACTATAGTGACTAGTACTTGGTTGTATACTTGTATTTTGTAGACGTCTTGTACATACTAAGCTGAGGTATATATTTATGCAGAACTTTTATTTTATCTATAGTTTTCACAGAACATTACGGTGAAGTACGACGCTCACTGCGAATATCCTATTTACGGACGATTTGTTAATTCAGGACTGATTGTCATGTAAGTATAACAACCTGTCTGCCCTATCTATATCCTATAGGACTATAAGCTTATCTACATATGATACGTGCATGGGGGGGGGTACCTGTAGTGCTTGGCCATATCCTGCCATTTTGAAATTGGGACAGAGTCAACCGAGTCAGGGGCCCTCATTTTATCTGCTGTTGTAAAAAAAAGAAAAATGAATAGTGAAATTGTTCCGTGTTATTATGTCATGTAAGTCTGTAACATTGTAACATAAGTACCTACAGCATTTTATATTTGCGTGTAAAACCCATCGTTTATAATAGGCGAGTTACCAAGACCCAAAACCCGGTTTTTAAAACGATTTTGGCAATTATTAAGTCTACTAGATATTTAGTATTTAGTATTAATTACAGGACAATAAATAACTTCCAAGTTCAGATGATGATTTATAGTAGGTATCTACCTAATATATTGTGTGTGTCATTATATATTTTTATATTGTATAAATGTTAATCATGTTATTGTTATTATATATTAATAGTACCTATAGCCAATAGGTACGTACCTACATATTAATAGAAAAAAATTAATTAATACCTATTATACACACACATTAGATACCTACCAGTATAGATTATTTTACCTCTGCTTATTACCTAATTCACATAGAAGACAGAATTACATAAGTGTACAGGGAAATGGCTTATTAACCTCGGTGACTGGACATGTAGCCAAAAAATATATAATATAAACAATATATTAATGGCCCTCACGGCCCACGACAAAAAACAGCAAGGTACCTAGTTAGATACGTACATAAAATGTACAAGACAGGAGTCATTCACGGGCATTTAATCTTTCTCTTTCTCTTCTATTTTCCCGAGGTACCGACGCTATAAAAGTATACACTATACACAATATATACATATTAATTATCATACCTGCGCGTAGTGTTCAAAATTGTACTGATGTTTATTCGTATCCCTAAAGACAAATAATCATGCTACACCGCTCTCATAATAATAATATTATGTGTGTGCATATTATATTAGTTTGGCGTTCTTTTTTCACGGAGCAATCGCCGTTCGGCTACAGCAGGTCGCAGGCGAAGACTGTTATTACGATGGTAGGACGTCATATCTGGCACGTCTTGCCGTCCAAGTACCGATTGCCGTCGTCTGGAACGCGTTTATGGTCTTACATGTGCATTTACTATACGATATTATCAGCCCACATATCTACTACGTGTTCTTGGGTTTGTTGCTGGTGAGCGTCTGCGGAATACACTTGGGTAACGAATTAGATTATGACTTACTGTACTTAGATAATATAACACTCAGAAGTTGTACGTATGTCGGACGTTCGACTGAGGCAATTTCGTCGTAAAACTGTGATACAATGTTTAACAGACCCACTGTATTTTATACAACAATGATCCGTGAACAAACATAACTGACCGCATTAGATCAATCCGACAATCTATGATTTGGTTCTTGTATAAATATGAAATCGAAGCAAAATTCGTTAAAAAATTTACGAAATTTTGGTAACACAAATAAATTAAATTTGTAATTTTATTTTTTTTAATTGACTGAAAACTTGTGTAAAATGGACCACTCTGTACATACATAAATGTACAGGAATTTTCAGTGTCAGTCAATACAAGTGTTTTATACTGAAATATTATTAAATGCATTTTGTCGATAATAGTTATTTTGTTACTCAATACTTATCGTCTATTCACTTCAGTAATTTCAGTCGACAGTCTGTTTGTAATAAATATTTTATCCAGTTTACTAATATATACAACAATTATTTTCCTTGATCCCCATTCCCCACTAATGTATAGTAATATACAGGCGCGGACTGGTAAAAAAGGGCAAGGGATGCTACACAATTTAAAGGGCGAATAACGAAAATTGTTAGGGCAAATTTAAGACATGTACCAACCTAGATAATTTATAAAATATTAATATATTTTATATTGTTTTGAAAAAATATAAAATATTAATATATTTTATATTGTTTTGAAAAAATATTAAATATTGAATATACGTTAAAAACATAAATGAGTACCAAGTTACAACAAACTTTCAATAAAAATTGTACAATATCATAGATCACTAATAATCTTAAGTTGGTAATAACGATCTGCTGTTCATTAGGTATCTAGAGTCTTTAAATATAATATATTATAATAAATAATATTAATTATGAAATATATTTTGGGGCAAGGGATGCTGTAGCATCCCAGCATCCCAGCCAGTCCGCGCCTGGTAATATAGTATACAGCATAATTAAAACATCTTAAACATATACGGTAAAAACTATTCTTACATGTATGCGTATATTTATTTTTTAGTACTGTCTATTGAAATATAAAAATAAAGTAATATTCTTTTTTTTAGGATATATCTTATGTTCAATTGTAAAAAATCATTTCAGTGTTACAGTAGTACTGTACTTAAAATTCACAATATGCGTCTACGTCTCAGGTTAGGTCCTACATTATTATTATCAATACCTAACTATGATCATTTTATGAATCTTATTTTTTTTTTTCCAATAGGACTTTGGTGGCCCACATGTGAATTATTTGGTTGGAAATATGTGGTAAATCATTATTTCCCAGTTTCAGAAGGCGTTTGTTTTATTAGAAATTTAATTGAAAAACAGACTTTTGTCACAAAGCCATTCATTATTATAACTTTTTGGTCTGTAATACTTGTGATGATCACAATAGCTGATATAACTAATAATAAATATGAGAAAAGGTACAATAAATTTAAAAATCTATTATAAATATTAATATTTATGATTTATTATTTACAAATAATATTAATTTTTATTGACACACATAGCTAATTTGTGTAAAAAAAAGAAGTATATATATAAATGAAAAAAAATTAAAAAAATTATTCGTTTTCTTGCTTTTTACGCAATATAACAAATCCTTCCATGACAGGTGTAAGACATTTGTATTCATCAGTAGCGAGTTCTGCCCTTTCGCCTACTGCCAATAGAACTGGTGTCGTGTGGGTATGCACTCCAGCTATTGTTTTAGGGGTACCAGCTTTTCCAATGACATCAACAGCCTACAAAATACAATGGTTTATCAATTAAATTAAATATTTACCATTATTTAATGCTAACCATAAATAGCCACAGACCCTTTATAGTCATAAGAAATATATCAAAGAGATTCAAATATACACAGTCTTGGATTTTAACCCACAAACAATACGTTTTAAACACTACATCCTTAAAATTTTAATTTCAATATATTTCTATCTGGGATGGAGTGCACTCATTGAACAGTTGAGGATAAAACACAACAACTATAATGTAAAAAACTTACTTGACCAACTCGAACTGATACAGGGAGTGGCTCAAGGTCTTCATCCAAAGTCACCAGCCATCTTGGGTACATAGCAACGACCAAAGTGTAAAGTAAGTAATGAGACTTACCCAAGATAACTAAAAGACAACAAATATTTTAATATATAATATTTTTTAAATGTATAACTCATGTTAACATATATGAAAAATATTACAATATTATGTTATTTAAAGTATAGGCTTACTGTTACGAGTGTCCAAGAAGCTGAATAGTGTGATGAGAAGACCCGATACAGCCACAGGATTCATTACTTGTCTGTCAGTATGGAACGGCGACAATGATAGTGTACCTTTACCCATGTGTGTCAAACCCTGGGCAATGCGCACCATGAACAAATGGCCAGTGTTTTTAGCATGGTATTGAGCTAACTGACGCAACATAGTAGCTAACCTGAACAATTTAAAATTTATTATTATTTATAAAACTCATGAGTTTTCAATTACAAACTAAATAAGTTTAAAACTAAAAATCAAAAATCAAAACTTTAAAAATATAAACATAAAAGTAGATGTAATGTGAATGAATTTAATTAATACTCTGTTTCTTCTATAAACCACAAATTCTCTACTCGATTCAAAATAAGTTTGGTAAAACTGAGCAGCTTCGGAACGTTAGGACTGCTATGATTGCACAGTAGTAGGTAGTTTACAAACAGGCCAATAAGACTGCACATGCGCGAGCCACAATGTGGTTTTGTCATGATTTATACCAAACTTACTTGTTATAGAGTATAGTTAACAATTGATGCATAGATAAAATGTATTCACATTGTTTAATGTTTTTTGAGTAATTATAAGAGTAAAATCACATAATATTACATAAATGATAGGGGATAATATTTTTGCGAGTTTGACATATTGGTTATATATTTTTAACTATTTTATCATTATTTGACTTTATATTCTACTTCAAAAACAAATTTTTGTAAATTTAAATGGGTATTAAATTATTTTGAGACAATCTTATAGATCAGATTATCAGACCGCATTTTTATACAACTTATTAAAGTTTATTTTTTTTTATTACCTAGCATTGTTAGTACCAGCTCCAACCAAACCCATCGAAAATATAGCATTATGTGCTACTTCTTCATCTAAATCATGGGAGTATTTATTTAGCACATCGATAATATTCATTTGAGGGTTTGATATAGATAACAACGCGATTGCTAATGGAACAGCTCTTCTTACAGGTGGTTCACCATACCTTCCCTAAAAATAATAAAATCATATTTAAAAATGCGGGTAAGTGGATGTTGCTCTGCTGTACAGTAGGTTACAAGTGGGTCATTGTATAATAGATTGTATTAAACTTGAATTCAATGATATAATATCATTGTATAAGAAAAACGATTCTGAGAGGAGACTGTTTGTCAGTCCTTCATATTTTATATTGTTACTATTTATTATATCATGTAAGTTGAATTAATATTATAATATTATTATTTTTTATTCTTTTCTATGAAACAAATATTGTTGATAACAAAGCGTTATAAATTAAATTTCCATTTTTTGTGGTTTTTGGTAATTTTTAGTTGGTTTTTAACGTGACATTATATAACTATTGAGAAAATCAAAAAAATGACCTTTAAAGTACCATCTTGATCTAATTTGCTAAAAGATAAGATACTTTATGTTGAAATCAAAGCACTCTTTCTGGTAGAAATGATTGTGTACAGGAAAAAAAAAAATAAACACCATTGTAAAGCCAATAGCTTCCTAGCTCCGCTCAGAATCTAATAAATTTCTATGATTTCTAATTGTATATAGAAATGTCTTACTAATTGTCCAAAAATTCTAGTACACATTTCTGATCCAGTATCTTCTCCCATAGCCACAACAGCTACAGCTAAAGCTGCAACAGCTTGCATGGTTGAAAGGTCCTTACTAGCAGTCTCTTTGTTTTTTTCTTTCTCCTTTTCTTTTTCTGCAGACGTTGTAGTTTCTTTTTTGTCACTATCCTTATCTTTTTTTTCACTTTGTTTTTTAGAAACTTCTTCTTTCTAAAAAACACATTACATCATTATTATATATTTACAGATTTTTAAGAGTTTATAAGTAGTTATGACTAATAATTATTAAATTAACAATTACTGGAGCTGGAGTATAATGTTCACTACATATATGTAGTAACTCTTGAATAGTCAGTACATCACCAGAGCCAGCACAAGCACACATTTTGACTGTCATTTTAGCCATGGACTTAAATGGATCAGCTAATACATTCAAATCTCCATCAAGTGCATCAGCTTTGTCCTTAAGACCTTAAAGTTGTAAAAATAATATTTTTAGATTAATGTACTTTAAGTGTAAACCAATGTTTATTGAAGCCATACCAAGATAACATAATCCAAGAGCAAGCGGTAAAAATCTTGAATAATGGCCTTCTTGTAGTTCCGTTGAAGGTAAATCCACCAGAGTTTGTAGGATTGTGGATATAACATCTTGGTTAGCAGCACCTACACTAATCATTCCACAAGAAAGAGCAGCCAATGCAACAACTTCTGGTGTAGATTTATTATTGGACATTACTGGCAACAATAATGTTATAACATCTTGTCGTCTTGTACCCGCATAGGCAAGTCCCAAACCTAAGCAAATTATATGATATACACTTATAACATTTATAAAAATAGAAAAGTTACCTAAGACAGCTCCAATTCTAAGTAAAACACTCTCGTGTAAAACATAATCAGATAAAAGTGAATAAGCCGGATCACATTCATTGCGTACTCCAACATTAACAATTCCCAAAGCAAGGAGAGCACCAGCCTAATCATTATAAATAGGTGGTTACAAAAGAAAAATGATTAATTAACAAGATATAAAGACTCAATATTTACTTTAATATATTCTTCAGATGTATAAAGATACTTGTCAATTGGAGTTAACCCACCATGGACATCCCACAAATGAATAAGTCCAAGGGAAGCAGCAGCACTCAACATTCCTGAAAATGTACACTCATTAAATGAACACATCAATTG